AGATTTTTTTCAGTTAAACTTGGACTTTGTGCTAACTGGTGGTCCATTCTTGAGTAACTGTAATGTACTGGATCACGGGAGAGGCAAGCTTTCCTTCAGTAATGTGAGTTCAGCTAGATGGAGCTGCCACTTGCTAGATGTTTGCTCTGTGCTTACACAAAAGCGGATAGCAGGTTTGCTTCTTTACCTGTAGCTCAGTCTTTCAGTCACCAGGGTCATAAGATTGGTAGGAAAGAGGGGAGAACTGACCATAGCCTTTCTAACAAACTAACCTTCAGTACCAAATCTGGCCACAAATTGACACCTTTTTTGGTACAGCAACTTGGTATCTTCAGAGCTTGCATGTAAGCACATTCTGTCAGTAAGGTTTCTTCTTGATAGTAACTTCATTTTAGATGTAATAAATGAAAAACATGAACTAATGGGGGGAGGGGGATAGAGCTTGAACCCAAAATCTGTATAAGTGATGCTGATTCCCAGGTCATCTATAGCAGTGTTTCAATGAGATGCCAGTTGCAAGAGAAAATACACTAAATCCACAGCATACAGTAGTCCTTCTCTGTTTCTGCTGAGCAAGGCAGGCATCGTCTTTTGCTCTTACAACAGCAACAAAAAAAAGGCGTCGGGGAGATGAGAGCAAGTTTTTTGATGTACCAGCTATTTGTGTTATCAGTTTGATGGCTTGCTTTTCTAAGCGGAGAGCATTATGGTGATTTGCCTGTTAACATGTTCCACCGCTCTTTCCACCCTTTCCTAAGCCGTATCGGATTTTTAACACCTGGCTTGGAGAGCCATCGAAGAACCTTATGCTTGCTGAAGTTATTAATGTTATTAAAAGAGAAGACCTTATAAACAATGCAACCCATGCAGGGAAAGCACTGCTGACCGGGCTGCTGGATTTACAGGTAAACATTTGGAAGGCTTACTAGCTATATAAAGGAGAAAAGTAAATTAGGAACAATTTGCCGATCAGTTAGGATCTGACCTTATACAGCTTAAACACTCTAGACTGAGGGCATCTCCAGCTGGCCACTAGACCAGTGAATCTGATCATAACTTACAGGTTTAGGTACTTCAGTGCAAGGCTGAATAAATGTGTCCTATTTTGAATTGAAGTAAACTTTCTTTTACTGATGTAAGAATGCCGGTCTTATATGGCTGTTCTTTTGTATAATACTGTTTTTATATAATAAAGGGCCACCCACAAAATACCTGAAGGTATGAACTGCAGCTAGTGCAGTTATTGTGCTAGCAGTCTCTGTTATTACAAGCAGCTAGCATTTCACTGTCCCCAAATTTTTTTCTAAAGCAAAGTGCCTTCATATTCTGTTACAATTCAGTTGGGCCTTTGGGCAAGAAAATTATTGCCTTCCCTTCTCAATTTTGCAGCTTCAACTGTGGAGCCCCCCATGAGCAAGGCAAAGCAGCCAGACATCTCAGGGCAGGTTTGCACATGCTGGCCTCTAAAGGCACCTGTGCAGCAAGAGTAAGTGTAGGGATATGCCCAAATGCAGTCCCTGCTGGCTCTATAACTTAAGGACATTGCAGAGAGAAGAATGTAAAAAAAAAAACAAAAACAGAAAAAAAACTTCATGCTTTGGAAGGCCAGAATACAACTTCTACTATCAAAAAAGGTTACTCTTAAATAAAACAGGAGGATTGTAATTCACTTACTAGTGGGACAGAGTACACATTGTGTATGTTGTCTTACCACAACATAAGGATGAGCTAGTTTCTAGCCCTGTTCCAGGTTGTTCATGTTCAGGTTTGCCCAGGGTACGTTTTCAGATGTAAGCTGATTTATGCTCGCTTCATGAAACTCAAAGAAAGATTTCCCTTGACCCAGCTCAGGGGGTGCAAATTCATTCTCACTTCCTGCCTCAGATGTTTAGCTCCTTTGTAGAGAGAACATGAGAAATCTGCCTGCACTACAGCTCTAAAGTCTATGGCTATCCAGACTGTTGTCAGAAATGGGTGAACAGGGCACAAGGTTGTGTCAGAAAATCAGACTGTGCAGTAGTTTCACTCCACCAGAATTGAGGAGGAAACAGCTTTTCCATGGGGCATACTGCGTGGGCAGAACTCGCTACCAGGTGCCCTCCGTTTCAGCAGCTGCCATACGTATTGCCTTACCTCTCATTGCAGGCTCGTTACCCCCATCTAATCAGCAGAGTGAGAGGAAGAGGAACGTTCTGTTCATTTGACACTCCAAATGATGCAACTAGAAACAAGTTAATTACAATAGCCAGAAACAAAGGTAAGAAAGACTGTGTGTAAATTAGCCTCAAAATGATAAACAGCTGGATATGTAATGCTTTAAATTTTCCTTTTCCTGCATGGCCTAATGTGCACTATGGCACTACAAAAGCAAGTTCTGAGGAAACTGTAGTTTATTTTAAGTGTTATTTTCATAAACATCTGAATTAGTCAGTTGCATGGGGTGCGTACAGAGAGATGCTCGCGCACACCCACAGCTGCGCGCACACATGCACAATGACTACCTTCCTCTTTATGTCTGACCTTATTGGAGGAGACTATGCTGGGCACGTGCTGTTTCTCAGCATCTCTTTCATATTCCTCTGCAGTGAGCTGAGGTGAAGCTATGCGTGGCTGGCTTCCAGAAACAGATCAGGATAATTAAGAGAAAGCTAATACAACTGTCAGACAGGAAAACAGAGGGAGAACTAAGAATTTTATGGAGTACCTAATAGTGAAATACAAAGATTTGCCTCAAATGGGCACAGCTCTATAACTACATCTCTCTTCTACTATAGAACTTTTACCTGGCTATAGAGAGGATCTCTTCCAGACTAACAGGTCTCAAGCTTCAGAAGGGGAACTGGCCTTGGGATCCAAAGCCTTATATTTGCTTTGAATATAACTGTGGGCCCTGGGTTTACTGCTGTTGCAGTTCTGGATGCTACTCCTATCTGCCCTTTCTCTTGTAAGGAAGGAGGCATGATGCCTCTGAGCTACTGCCAAACTAAAATTTTAAAGCGTGTAAAAGATATCTGTATTTTTTGTTCTTAGAAAGTAAGCTAGTGGGAGAAAAGGTGACCGTTTCATGGTATGCAAAGGTAAGGTAGCTAGCTTAGAGGCAAGGGAAGCTGACACAGCTCAACAGTATGGATTTTTCATAGTTCAAAAACCTTTCAAAGAATTAACTGATTTCTGAATCAAGGGAATACTCTGCATTTTTAGGTAGTGCAAGAAAAATCTGTCAGCACTGAGATGTGTTAACTTTTTGTATTTAACAATGAAGTCTTTTTCATTTAATAATGAAATGGAGTTAAAAAAAAAAAAAAAAAAGGCAAAGAAACCTTATTGTGTCTTGTTCTGGGATTGGGGTGCTCAACCTGTAGAGCATTGTAGCATTGACGTCTTAGCTGCTGCTTAAGCTGTGTTTTGGATGGACTCTTTCCTTTGACATTCGGCCAAATTCCACCATTTCAAGCATTTACAGAGCAGCCACAGGCACCTGCAGCGTTCTTCTGAGTTGCTGTAAAGCTTGAGGGCCCTTTGCACCACTGACTATGTGCTGTATCTTCAGAGCATTTAGCAGTGAGGTGGGAAACTTATGGTGGCCCTCTGCAGTGAGGTTGACTTCACTCTGAGAGAACAGTATGTTCTGAATGTTTGGCGAAGATGGAAATGACTAAAATAGCTGTTCTTGTCCTAGGTGTTGTGCTGGGAGGCTGTGGTGACAGATCTGTTCGTTTTCGTCCAACGCTGATCTTCAAGGATCATCACGCGCACCTCTTTCTGAACATTTTCAGTGACATCTTGGCAAACTTTAAGTAAAAAGCAGCTCCCTCACATTGAACAGCTCAGATTATGAAATTAGTTTGCATTAATTCATGTCTTCTCCACTTACAAGATAAGTGTAAAGTCATAAACTGAAGTTTGTGTTGTGTCTTGCACAAGGCAAGCTCCTCCGTGCAAACTCTGGACACAGGCAGAGCATTGGTACTGGTCACCAGCCGCTGTCCTGCACCCTGCATTTGTAGAAGCTGTGGCCCTCCGTCTTCGGGCTTGGGCCATATTAATTGCAGAGTCCTCCCTACATTCATGGCCCTGACTCCTTGGTTGTCTAAATATGACGTAGTACAATCTGTGTTTTCACAGATAATCACAGTAGCTTTACTCACGTTCAGAAGCAGCAACAAGCCTTCAAGCGTGGCATAAAAGTTAAGGCCGCGTGCCTGCCATGCAGAAAGTGCCATTCTCTAATGGTAGCTGGGATAAAGTAGGTGTTTCAAGGAAAGCTCTGCTTTCCACCACTGCCAAGTACACTATTTTACAGCATAATTGCCAGCTTTATTCCCCTGAATACAGAAGTCTGCCATACCCAACCGGATCAGGACGCCATGAGCTACTGTACCCAGCCTTCGGCCTACACATGATGCTTCAGAGATGTTAATGCGCTCAGCCACATGTGCAGTGTTGTAGGTGGAACTGAAGTACTTATACTTCTTTCTTCACCCTAGATTTTAAAACTTTGACTTGTCTCTTACAATCAAATTTGTACAGAGAAAGTTATACCCAGAAGGGTATTATTTACTAAAGCTGAGAGTAACAGGTGAAGCACATACTTCCTTGCACCTGTCAGCAATCTAGAATGATCTGGGATTATTTTACTTTTTGCCCATAATAGCCCATAATAGCCATTCATTTCGATATTACAAGTTCTGTATGACTACTTAAGGTAGTTTGTGAAACTGCAGCAGAACTGAATTGCTTTATTTTAGCCACTACCTGACATCAGCGCCATTGCCATCAAGGCCTAGTTTTAAATGCACATCTGAAACGCAAAGTATTTCTGTTGCTTTAATAGTTTATTCTAAGGCGGCCATGCTTCCAGGGGTCTCCTAGAAAGGCACAGGATCAAAAAGTGTCAGCAATTCATTAATCTGTTTATCTTCAGATAACTGTTTTGGACACCTCTTTGATATTTACTCTTTGCTATTTCCTTAAGGCTGACTTGAACTGTGTCTGGTGCCTTTTTTTTTTTTCCATTTCTTAGCTAACAAGCTTCTAAATTTTGATTATTAGCTTTGTTACACACCAACAAATAAAGACCACATCTGACTTTTTGGCTGCCCTATCAGCAACTTAACCACAATTTTTAAGGATGTAATGATACAAGGCAGTTAAGGGATTTATGCATCTTTAATAAAGCTACTAAAATGTGCAAAGTTTATCTGCTTTAATAAGTGTTAACTGTGGTTTGCCCCTTACAGTTTTTGAGTACTGGTACAAAGCAACTCAAGAAATCTCACTTCTGCTAGCTTCAAAATAATGGGACTTCTGTAAAACTCTACAGAACCCGACTTCTGGTGCCCGCTGGTCAGAATCTGAGCAAGTTTTTGAACAGATGTTGTGGAAATCTCGAGATTTCCACAAAGACTGGTGAACAGGCGTTCAACAAAACCTCATTGCCATCACTGTCCTAGTAAGCATGTTAGCATCAAGAGGAAAGTCAAACTGAGAATATATTTCACTGCATTTTGAAAATTAGTTTGTTCAACATATCAGTGCAGTAGTTTTAGTAAATGTCTCTAGCAAGTCTTGTACTTTTACAGAAGCAAAGGTCCAGTAATTTGAAGTCTTACCACATCGTCACTTCTTTTATTATGAATACTCTATGTGTTTTTATAATTTTTACTGACACTAACTGTATAATGGTGTACAACATGTTGATGAAATCATGTTAGAAAATATATTAAGCACTGCAGCTGAAGCATAATAACGTTAATATTGTTTACAGTGTACTGTGGACAGTGCCAAATAAATGTTTAAACAAATACTTAACTATACGTCATGGTGTAACTAGTAACTCTGCACACAGCTCCATAAAAATTACATCTTGTGTAATCAGTATTCTTAAATAAAATATTTATAAATGAACTTCTCTACGGCCCTTTATTGTACACTCCAAAACTGAATCATTGGCGCATACTAAGCACATTCTAACAGAGCTGAGCATCCAGAACGTGCAGTATACACAGCCCACTTCAGTCAGCTGGTGTCTTGCTGCCATGGTGTTTAAGGCAAGAGCAATTTCTCTTTTCCTTTTGATATTGCTGTACCACTTTATCAGTCCAAGCTTAAAATAATTTGGACGCCATTAGGAAAAGTTCAACACTAAAAAATAAGAAATCATGGTCAAGCTGTGCATTTTAATGGCCGTTTTACTTATCTACAGCTACTGATTGCCCCCCGCCCCAGGAGACAGAGGTTTGAACAGGCCTGAGGGGGAGAGGCGGGGAAAAAGAACACTCCAAACTTCCCTGTTGCTGAGCGCTGGTTTATTTGCCGTTGTTTCGAATGCAGTAACAGCTAGAACAGCAGTGCAAGTAGTAAACTTGCTTCTGACAATTCAAAAAAAAAAAAAATTTACATGTTACAAGCGATCAGGCTTGAGTCTTTCTTGGCGTTAAACCCTGCCCCTTATTTCTAGCCAGGTCTTGGTTTTAGCAAAGGAAGACTCCTATTAACCCCACAGAACAAATCCAATGTCCTTCACGGCCACAGGTGCTGAGGTGATCAACTCTACAAGTTTGACTGAACAGAAACCCCACCTATTACACTTTCAGTCTTAATATAACATAGCTCTTGGTTGTTTTACCTTCTATCTTTTAAGTTATTAACCCAGACTGCGAGGGGTTGGGGGGGGGGGGCGTATCCAAATCTAGTAAGTAGAAGGGTATTTTGCAATGTTTACTCCAGTTTTTGCAACTCAAGCGTTACAGCATTGATTAAATGTGCCATTCACATCTATAGCCTAAAACAAACACAACATGAACATATGCAATGAAGAGCATATACTTTCAAGTTTTCAGAAGATGATTATTAAAATACAAACTGAAAAACACTGATCAAGGGCTCATACACTGTCCCTCTAACTGACAGGTTCAGGTGTATATTTTCTCCTCTATTTCAGTAGGAAAGCAATTTCTGTTAGAGGCTCCTGAAATGCTGTCCCAGTCTTTAACTTACCCTTACAACTAACTGTCAATTTACCTTGCAGCATGCACCCCTGCATTGCCAAGTTAGCAAGATCTTCAGGGAGGTGAACTAAGAGACCTCCTTCCACCCCATCACGAGCGCTCACAAGAGCTGGTCAAAGGAACGTTTCTTTAACACTGATTTTATGAGCTGCTACAAAAACTGCTATGGCATTATATATCAGGCTTTCCAGGTATCCCATAATTTCATTAATGCGTGACTGTCTTACCTCTGTGACATCCAGCACTACTTATTATATGCTTATATGAGAAAAGTTTTAATTTGAAGAGGCTTCCCAGTTAGCCCAAAGTTTCCTAAAAACAGTCAATTTAAAGTGAGGATGCTCTGACATGGTACTGCGTTTCCCTTCAATAGCTTTTAATGTTCAAAACCACTCAGTCTAGGAGGCAAGCTGAAAGAGTCGGCATCAGCAATCGCACTTGTGACTGCACATTCCAAGCAAGACGATTTGGATTTACAGCTGCTGGTGACTGCACCCTAGGCACACTCACTGTATCCAAAACAGAAGAGATCCTACTTAAACCAGCTATAAGGAAATCTAATCAAGGGGATCGTTCTTTAGCACTTCTGCTTTCACTTACCAGAAGACTTTGCATAGGAGAATAATGGCATTGCGTCAGTTTGGTATAATCACTAAACTTCATAGAAGAATAAGCACAATGACCATGCAAAAATCACAGTCAGTTGAAATTAGCTGCTGCATCAGTCAAGGTCTCCAAATATTTGGATAAACTTCTCTCTATCTACAATCTGGCCAAACTTAAGCGTAAAATATAAGATATCTGTACTATCATACCGTTTGAACTGGAGAAGTAACTCCTCCTTGCCATCTCCAACATCACCCAAAGTCATCACCATCTCGGTTGGACAGAGAATGTCTTTCCGTCTTCCCCAAAAGGTCAAGTGGGCCACTTTGACAGTACTGCCAGTTTCATTTAAGTAGATTAGTCCAATGATTCGTCTGAAAAAATAGCTCATACCATACAACATCCCACCAGCGAAGAAAGCAATGCCAGCTGTATACAACAGGATAGTCTGAGAAACCTGGTCGTGCAGATACAGGTAACAGACAGGAGGCAGCATGACGGTGGTGATGGCAGTCTGTAACAGCTTCATTCTCGAGAGCACTCTACAGTACTTAATGCCTGGAAATCTGTAGACCAGCCTGAACTCTTCAGTGTTCTCATCCACGGCCTTTGGCCGGACCCCATCGGCGGGGGCAGGACGGCAGGGGCGCGCGCACAGCACTGGCGGCGCCCCGAGGTAGGCACGCGCTCCCCTAGCTCGCCGGCCCGGCCGCTGCGAACACCCCCACGTGCCCAAGCGGCACGCCGGCCCACCACACTT